GCATAAGTACTCATGTATGTGTGACTATGTCTGCCTTCACAGTGCAAGACAAATGGAGAGTCGGCCCTACTTTGTGTCATAAGAGTAATCTCTGTCCCTTTAATGAAGAGCTGGTGCTTTTATATATGGCTAGAAATTTTTTTTTTTTTGAGGGAGCCGGTAAGAGTGATTACCTGAAATATCCTGTGTCTAGAGAAACGAGAAGAAAAAAAAAAACAGCAATAATTCGGGAGAGTTAGAGAGGGTACTTTTTTAAAATAGGATGTTGTCTGAAAAAAAGAATGTCCTGTGCCTGGTTTCTTGGATAGAAAATCATGTTCTTTTGGGAAAGGTGACTATAGAGCACAAAGAAGCTAAATCTATACAACACAAATGAATTGAAATTTGGGTAAAAATGGAATCAGTGTAGACTGCCAATTTAGCTAGCACAGGCCTCTTACAAATCTCAATTATGCAAGCCAGCCAAATCTTCTTTGTACTGTTTAGACACATGTACAGTTTTGTGAGCACTAGAATGTAGTCATTTGAAGGTGAAGAGAGTGTCACAGTTTCATAAGCTAAAATGGTTTCTCACTCTCACAAAGAGGAAGCAGAGAAGGACCCAGAGGTAACCTCCTGTAGCAGGAAATGGGAACTTCATCCTGCCTTCTCTGCCAACCTCCTGTCCCTGTTTCCTCCCAGCAGATATCTCCATTCTAATCTCCCCTGCCACTTTGGCTCTCTTGCTGTCATGATTCAACTGTTCTGAAAAGGTTGTACTAACTGGCCTTGGACCGAGGGAACCTAGCCCAGTCATTAACTGGAATCCATAAGAAAAGAGCAAAACAAACCGATTCTTCAGAACTGAATTACAATAACAAAGAGACATGTTTATTTTGACATGAAAAGATTTTGTGTGCATGCACACACAAACACACACAAATCCTCTTTGTTTACTCAGAGTGTAGACAAGATAATTGCTTGGCCAAATCAATCAAGTCATTCAAAGCTAGAGTGGCCCAGGAATTTTAGTTCTAAATGATCTGTCAGTGCTAGGCATTTCAGAAAGGGGGAGGAGATGGACTGCATAATTGCTTCAGCTCTCCGCTTCCTTTGCGTATGTTAATTATTGAGAATCAATTCCAATTCAAGAGGAGGCTTTAATTCCTTATAAATGAATAGGAAATAAGTAAATGTTCGGTGTTTTCCTAAAATGATGTATCATAATGTAAGAAAACAGTGGCAAAAAGCCATCAACAGATGGTGTTTTCATTAGCTAAAGATTTATTTTTCAAAGCATGTTCATATTAATGAAGGAAGGTTGAATTAGAGATATCCTGTCACTTCTAGTTCTGTGTTGTTAAAATGTACTGACATTCTGCAAATTGCTAGGGGGCCAGAGCAAACTAACCATTTGCCATAATTTTGTGATGGTAACCCAAGGCCTGTAGTCTAACCAGACCCAAAATTATGTGTTCAACCCTAATTTTTGTTTTCAGTGGCTTTATACAAGCCACGAGTCTCAGTTCAGAGCCATAAATGAGGAACACACAGCAGGGATCATAGTCCTTCTCTGCAGTATGAATTATTTATGAGATATCAATTTCAAGGCCAGTGTTACAACAGGTCACATGTACTTGTTAAAAACACTCTCCCCATGGAATCCCAGGTTTGAATGGAAACACTGCAGTTGGAAACACAGATTTCTAATATTTCTTCTTCTCTGAATTCATCAGTTTTATACTATTTACCTAACATGTCAACATAATAATTTGTGATACATGCGATTTTCATTTGTTTGAGAATCTGGACTACTTCACTGAGGAAATCTTTGACTGATTGGCACTATGAGTAATTTTCACTCTCTAACTTAAGCTACACTGTTTGATCAAACTGAGCTCTATTATACACACCTTAAAGCCAAACTTTTTTGAAGAGGCGCCTAGGCTTGAAGCCTTCTGATGTACTCTTTAACCCTGTGTGATTTGGTGTTTATTTCCAAAACCGTACTGAAAGTTGTTTTTCAAAGGCTACTTGAGAGCTCTAATTAGCAAATTCAGTACACTTTTTAAAATCAGTCCTCATATTTCTTGTTAGTTTTATGTGTTTGACAGTGATGAATCCTTTCTGGAAACATGTTTCTCTTGATTATTCTCTTAGTTTGGCCAAGACCTGCATTTGCAACTGCCTTGAATATTGTCACGTCCTCTGAATATTGTAATATCCTCTAAGCAACCAGTGTCCCTGTCTCTTAGGCTTTTCTGTTTTGGTCTGCTCCACATATTGCTTCTAGGTTAATGTCATAAAAGAAGTCATGATTATGACATTTCCCCAAGACTAAAATAAATTGATTCAATCTCATGTGCTCATTTTCAAGACCTTCAAAACAGGGATTTGATCTCTATTTGCATCTTTTTCTCTTACCACTACCTTGTGCTTTGTGTTCCAGTCAAACTAAGCTGTTTATTGGTCCCTGAACATGAACAATACTTTATTCATTTTTTTTCCATGAGAGGAAGTCTTACTATGTTGCCTACACTGGCTTCAGACTCCTAGGCTCAAGTCATCTTCCTGCCTCAGCCTTCCAAGTAGCTAGGACGAGATGTGTGTACCACCACTCCTGGCTAATTTATTCATTTTTGCTTCTGATCATGCTCCTCATGCCTGAAACACCCTGCCTTCCTTCATCTCTATCTGCTAAATTTCTACTTATCCTCCAACTTCATGTTAGGTTTATTTCCTCTCTGTATGTGAAGTCACTACACTTTGAACACAGTAGATGCTCAATACATGTTTGTTATACTAAGTCTTTGAACTGCCGTTTTTCCCTCTGACATCCATTTAGTTTAGAGATCATGCCCAAATCAATTATTGCTGCCCTTTCCTTTTCCTTGTCTCCACCCCTTGTCCTTCCTAAGGAGAACACGGTTTTAGATTGTAATAGGACTGAGGAAAGTTGAGAAAGATACCTCTGAGCCAAGAAAAAATAAAGGGTGAAAAGTTGCATCCATGGAAATAAAGCCAAGGAAACTAAGAAAGATCTGACAAGTAGGGAAGCAAGAGTTTAGCTGGTCCCCAAAATTCCAGTTGAGAACAAGTGAAATCAGATTAATCAACCTAGGAATATATACATCTATGTGAATATATCCTTGGGAATATATCCAGGGAATAGTTCCAAGGTTATTAAGGAGCCACAGCTACTTAATAGACAGGAAAAGATCCAAGAACACAAGTCCCCTCTCTTTGTCCACGTCCCCCCGTTCCCTAGTGTTCTTCCCATTTTCTCTTCCAAAAGCAAGAACTTTGAACAACTACAAATCATAGCAACCATTGAGTTAGCAAGGAAACAATGAGCACAACTGAGGGAAAGAATGCTAGCAGAATAAGGGCCAGGATTGGGGTATTACATTTGGAGCAGACTCTGCAGAGTGTTGGGATGGTGGATAAAAAGTAGTAGATGTTGAGACAGGTCCTAGAGGGGAAGCAGCTATCAAAGCTAAAATTTTGGAGACAGGCAACAATAAAAGTCCATGACCAACCTAGAAAGATGGAATAATGTAGTTTTCACACAAGGAATGGAAGGGAGTAGCTTGCTTAACTGAAAATATGTTAGAGTTTAAGTACTGTTACAGGGGCTGGAGAAATAGTGCAGAGGTTAAGAGCACTGGCTGTTCTTGGAGAGGACCTGGGTTCAGTTCCTAGCACCCACATGGAGGCTAACAACTGTCTATTAACTCCAGTTCCAGGGGATCCAACTTCCTCTTCTGACCTCTGTGGGCATTGCAGGACATGGATGCACTTAAAATACATGCAGGCAGTACACTCATACACATAAAACAAAACTAATAAATAAAATAAAAAAGTTCAAGTACTGCTACGATTATGTTACGTTCAGCATATCTGCAAAGTGTTTCTAATGTGCACCTAAAAGAAACTATACATCAGAAAGCAGTGGTAAGTAATGGATGTCCTCTTGATAGAATCAGGCTTTGCCTTTGAAACTGTATGCTGAAAGAAAACTGTGTTGTACAGTATTTAACTTTGGTGAGTATCATACTCAAGATACTATTTAGTTTTCAGGAAGAGGCCTACTAATACATAATGTTGTGAACAAAAACACAAAACATTATATAATATTGAGTGAAAATTGGACTAGAAACCTAGTTTCCATTCCTAGCTTTGTTGAATAATAGTTATATGGCTGCAAAATAATTACATCTCATTTTTTTTGAGACAGGGTCTCCAGGTAGCTCTAGCTGGCCTGGAACTCTCTATGTAGACCAGGCTGGCCTTGAACTCATAGAGATCTGCCTGCTTCTGTCTCCCAAGTGCTGGGATTAAAGGCACGTGTCACTACACCCAGCTTTTAAATCTCATTCTTATATTCACATTTTACATTATGAAAATGCTGGTATTTCCATTTTCATGAGATTGTTATGATTATTAATAGATATATATATGAAGTTGCCTCGCATTGTGTCTGGCAAGATATAATCATTCAATAAACTGTAGTGTTTGGGGTTTTTTTGCGGTTGGCAAAATAGCTCAGTTACTAAAGTGTTTGCTGTGCAAGCATGAAGGCTTGCGTTTGATCCTCAGAACCCATGTGGAAGCACAAGTGGTGATCTGCATTTGTAATCCCAGTGCTGGGAGGCAGGCACAGGTGGATCTGTGCCTGCTTAATCTGTGAGCATCAGACCAATGAGAGACTAATGGGAGAGGGAGAGGGGAGAGGGGAGAAGGCGGGGGGAGAGGGGAGAGGGGAGAGGGAGAGGGAGGAGAGTAATCCTAGCACTTTGGGTGTTGAGGCAGAAAGATTGTTCTTAGTTTGAGGCAACAAGGCCTACATAAAGAGTTCAAGGCCTAAGTGAGATCCTATCTCATTCTCTCCCCCCCCAAAGAAGGAGAGATTTGTCTACTAACTATATCGATTTCTACATGATATTGGTTCTCAAGTTCATTGTTTCTTTTCCCACCTTCTCTCTTGTTTCCCGCTGGCTTCATACCCTCTGGGACGGCAGCAAACTCTGGAGATGAACCTCACCAACCTGGTTAAGCGCAACAGTGAACTAGAAAATCAAATGGCCAAACTAATACAGATCTGCCAGCAGGTTGAGGTATGTAACAGTAGTATTTGCAATTTTTTCATTGGATCCGAATTGGGTGATCTTTGGAGGAACTTCTATTTTGTCACAGTGTAGTTCAGCTATTTTTGGTGAAGTACTGAATGGTAGTATAAGAGGTCTCATTCATCTAGGAATCTTGTTCTAAAAAAAAAGTGACAGAGGGGCTGGAGAGATGGCTCAGCAGTTAAGGGCATTAGCTGCCCTTGCAGAGGATCCAGGTTCAGTTCCCAGCACCCACATGGCAACTAACAACTGTCTGTAACTGCAGTTCCAAGGGATTCGATGCCTTTTTCTGACCTCTCTGGGCATTGCATAGCATAGATGCACTTACATACATGCAGGCAATTCACTCATACACATAAAATAAAAAAATAATAAATTTTTAAGTGACAGATACCTAAGATTTTTTAAATTAGCTAAATGCAGTGCTTTGGGGGGGGGCATACCAGTCCAATGGATACTCTCTTTTCCTTTCCAAACAGCAGATGGTAAGACAATCAGATAGGAAGTACTTCTTCCTTCATCAAACTGGACTTTATCACTGGTAAAATGATTATTGGACAAGTTGGGAATTCTGAGTCCATTGGGTAGGGTGAGGTTCATTCATTGCAACATCCTTTTGGTAGCCATATGATCATGACTTCTTTCCCCCTTCCTAACTTCTCTTCCTTTCATCCCGTGGCCCTGATCCTAGCTATATCATGCACCCTGCCTGATCCCCACTTACCATATTCCCACTTACTGTTTTCCTTTACTTATTTTTGTCACCAACAAATAATGTCTATGATAAAATTGTTGGTAAACTGTAAACTGCTGTATAAATGTAAACTTTGAAAATATTACCAACATTGAGTATTAGAACAGAGCTTAGAAGAGGATTTAAATGTTCCTTGACTGGATATAATAGAAGAGATATGTTATTTCTCCTTCTTTCTTAAAATCATATATGAAACTCCAGCTGTATCATTTAGTTTTGTGTAGATTTTGTGGAAGAACTGATAATAAGGCCTAAAATCTAAATATAGGCCTCCTCATGGGGGGCGCTGGAGAGATAGTGCAGTGGTTAAGAACACTGTTCTTGCAGAAGACGCAGATTGAAATCCCAGCACCCACATGGCAGCTAACAACTGTCCATAACTCCAGTTCCAGGGGCTCTGACAGCCTCTTCTGTCCTCCGCAGGCATTGCATGACATGGGTGCACTTACCTACATGCAGGTAATACACGCATACACATAAAATAAAAATAATAAATAAAAAAACTTATTAAGTAAAGATTCCTCATGGGAACTGATTGGGTACAAATGTTTCTAATTCTATATACAGTCTTATACTCTGATTTTAATCTAACTTGTATTACAGACAAATGTAACAGCTCAAGTTTGTTTTGTTTTAAATAGTGGAATAATTTTTATTATAGTCTCAATTGAGGATTCCTATTTAAAGGACTGGAGAAGTGGATAAGAAATCCCAGTACTACCTAAGGAAATTGTGACAACTGATCACTGCTGGGAGGGGGAGAAACAGCCTCTTTCAAGTATGGCACTCTTGTTAGGTTAACCAGGCTTCAGTGGATGAACCAACACTGAAGGACATTTGTGGATACAGATTATACTCTATAGACCTTAACACACACATACGATTTATCTAGATCTATCT